GTAAAGATAAAGGGAAGGAAAATACATATTGTATCTCAAAAATGTGTATTTGTTCTCAAGACCAAATATCAAATTTAAATATGTTGGTCAATGCCTTTTAAACTGACCATATGTATGTACATACAATTCTTGGTATGAAAAATTTACCTCTTTCTTCAGACTCCGTATCAGCCTGCTACAAATGGTCAATTTGGGCAATTATCATCACTCAGAGTTTTAGTAATAGTACTTACTAACAGAAAAAGTAAACTATGATGATAAATATTTTAATTAGCTCTTATGTTTTAACTTCAGATTTTACTTTTTCTACATACCAAAATAAAATTATGGAGATTTTGGCTAATAAAGCTACTAAAATTGTTTTCACCTGTAAAATTTATTTTAGAAATAGAAAAATGAAGCACTTTTTTTTCATTTGACTTACATTGCACATTTATAAGAAATTAAGTCCTTTGTGGTGAAGAGCTAATTTAATATAAAAGACAATTTGACTGATAGTTTGACAATTAATTGACAATTTAACTGGTTGGTGGGTTTAAGTTTGACTTTAAATAACAGAAAGAAACTCAACATGGAAGATCAAAGAACCTTTCAATTCAGAATTATTCATTACAGTTTTACTTTTTTACATGTGAATATCCCAAAGTGAAAACTATCATTTAGGCCAACTTGACTTGCAAGGTGGCAAGAGAAAACAAAGAAAATAAGTTCATAAAACTGAAATTGTTATACACGTAAGAAAAAATTCATAATTTACATATAAGTATAATTCAGCATATACAAACTATATAAATGTATATACAATATATATACATATATAGTAGTTCTACACATATACTTGTGTGTGTGTCCACACACAACTCCCCAATTACACATGTGTTATTGCTACTATGAATTTTAAAAGGTGTTTAGCGTATAAAACAGAACAATTAGATGGAGAATTTAGTCATAAGGAAGTTCCGTTCACCTGAAAATTTTCATCTTTGAGGATTTTGAGCTAAATGTTATATGTCTAAGTTCAAATTAGATTAGTATAAATCACTTAAGAATGGGCTGATCCTTGATTTCCCTTTTCTTTCACGATATCTTGATTTGTAATTGTCATTTGTGTCCCATTTTGTGATCTATTTTGTGAATTTTCCCCTTGTCATAGCCATTTCATACCAAGTGCAGAGTTTCTTGGCTTAGGCGATGTGAGTACAGTTGGATGGGACTGCACAAATAAAGGATTTAAACAGCAAGAATGAGAGCAAAAGGCCACAGAGGGCTCCAAAGTCTTCTTGTCTACAATCACATTACGTTCTTCATGATCCTCAAAAGAAATAGTTTCAAATAAAATTGTTTCAAACTAAACTTGCCAAGAGAGAGGAAATTTAAAAAAAACTTTCCTAACTCAGTCATTAAACTTTCCTTGTCTTTCTCTCTGAAGTTTTATTACGAATATTATAGTTTTTATCGTTATTGATAAAGTATTCTGCAATTAGATGCAATATCCTTCTGATTAAAAATATAGCTATCCACATAAATCATCTCATGATAAACACTATGTTAAAAATATGTTTAAAAGATTACTGAATTAAAATGACTAGTTCCTTTGCAATTACTTTACACTAATTATTTCATATCTGAATAGATTGTACAATGTTTACTATTTCCAAGTATTATTACTGTTATTAGTAATAAAAAATAGCTAGAAGAGCAAGTATCTGACTGCTTTGGGAGCAAATCATTGCTATAAAGTGAATGATTTATCTTTCTTTAGAAATAAATACTGCAGTAAAAAATAAAGCAAATCTTATAGGTACTTATGGTAATTAGTATCAGTGCAACTTCATGAAACCGTACCTGTTGTTGTAAATCAAAGCCAACATTAAGTAATATTAATGCAAAAGTTAAAGTAAGTGGCTTAGCTAGGGGGTAGAAAACACTATGGAAGCAAAAAATATCCTTTTTGATTATAAAATTCCATTCTCATATACATTTATTTTGTCATTTAAATAAATATATTCCTCCTTCAAAGCTAAAATTACTACCTATATTTAATATAAGGCAGTCAGTCTTACTTTCAATATTGATAAATAAAATATAAGCACTGTAATTTAATCAAGTGTATTGCAATTTGATAGGTGTATGGACTCTCATTTTTCAAATATCAAATGCCCCCAGGTCTGTGAGTACTTTAACCTGGTCAGTTAAATATACAACATAATGCTTATGTGCATGATTTTTACTAAAGTAATCATTAGAAGGCTCTAGCTTTTAACTTTGATATATTCTTTCTATTTTGCACCAAAATAATCTGGTTAAGGTGAGCAGACATCCTATATAAAAAGGTAATCTACAGAAAAATGCAAACTAAGAAGACAAGGGAGCAGGACGAGGAGGAAGAAGAAGAGGAGGAAAAGGAGGAGGAAGAGGAGAAGGAAGAGGAAGAGCAAACATATGTCAACTTAATACTGAATTTTACTTCCTTGAACAAGAAGACCTGTAGTTTAACATTTTTATATAAAGACATCCTGATTTGTGTTTACGAGCTCTTTTCCTAAAATAATTCCCAAACAAAATTCAAATTCTTAAGGGCAAAAACTTGTAGAGGTCAAACACAAAGTAATACTGAAAAGTTCCATATGTGTGTCTATATAGGTATGACTTCTATTTGTGTGCATATTTGTTTTGGTATCTATATGCATTTATGGTGGTCTAAATAGGTTCTAGACATTCACAGGCTTTATTTTCTTGGTGTAATGCCTTACTGTTGTTTCTGCCACTCAGCTGTAGAAACTTCCGTACTTGTTTTTTTCTTTGTGGGAGAAAATGTTATGTAAGGCATCAGTTGCTTATATGAAATACATTCAATGTGTAATGATCATTTCTACTAAGGACAGTTTGAGGAAAAATTAGCAAGCAAACAAGGTCCTTGCTGCACAAGTCTGTAGCTAAAGACTCTGGGTCTCTGAGGCTCTGCTGCCCTCTACTGGTTGTGCTCAAAGCTCTCTGTTTCCATCGAAATACTCACATCCTAAAATCCAATTTTCTTTGGTTTTGCTCACTTTTAAGTGGCTCATAACCTGGATTACTGTCAAGTTAACCTTACAACATCATCATAATATCATATAGAGTAAATCAATTCATTCAACATACTCTGTCTTAGGTCAAACATTTTGGGGACCCTTTGCATGAGTCCTTGGAGAAATCCAGTGGCCAAATGTAACAGCAAAATTGATCACAGATAACAGTACTTGCAAAATCACTCTGGTTTCAAAGCCTTTGATTTTGATTAGGTCGTGTGTGCTCAGAAAAGTGTGATTGTATGTATGGGAACTGAGCAAACATGTGCACGATCTTGATGTGTTTTTTTAGATAGCAATTTCACTGCCCTTTTTCTATCTTATGACAACACATGAATCTTAGATTACTTTCTTCAAATTAGTCCTGTATTTCTAATGAAGCTAGTTAGTCTATTTTCTGCCAAAGAAACAGTGCCTTGTGGGATACTGAATTTGAATTTCACAATCCAAGATTGTTTTAAGCAAACTTACAAGGAAAGTTTGCAATTCCCCATTGTATCCTGGCATGAATAGCGTACCTCACGCTTGGCAATAAGTTAGCTTTTGGCATAACAAGTAAAACAAATAATTATGTGCTATAAATGGGAACATGAAAAGGGATGGTATAGCTGAAATCTAAGGTTCAACCTCTGTATCTCCTATATAGGATGTATTGTGATTTTTTTCCAAAAAAAAAAAAAGCTTTATTAAGAAAGCTATACCGGACGCATCATCACTATACAATGATTAAACATTACCTTTACAATTTATAGTCACTGAAATTACAGAATAAATATATGCACATTTCTTTCTTTGTGTGTGTGAGAGAGAGAAAAAACATTAAAAGTGCTTCTTACAAAGCTGTTAGTGATATATACCAGTTGCTTTTATTTTTTAATATTATTTATATATGTATATATGTATATATAAGAAAGTGCAGATATTCTCCAAAAAACAAAAACAAAAACAAAAATGAAAACAAAGCAACCAAAAATCTTGGCATTGGGAAGAGGGGTGATAAAGATGCGGCGGCATCCTGGGTGTGTCTCCAGCGTTCACTGCTGTCGCATCCGGCTGTGCGCAGGGTGGTAGGAGAGACATTGCGGACTGTACACCAGGAGTGGACGGCAGGCTACGATGTATGGAGAGGAGACAAATGGATTCAACCCCAACTAAACAGATTGGGCTGCATGGGGGTGGTGTGTGTGTGTGTGTGTGTGTGTGTGTTGCACGCACAGACTGCAGGTGTAGGGATTGAACTACGCAAGGACTTTGTCGATTGCCTATGAGCATGGGAGCCAGAGACAACAGAGTGAGAACATTCCAGCAAGACCCGCCCCCTCCCTCCCGCCCAGTCTCGCAGTTTTCAAGCATGCAGCAACTGCAGTGTTGATACATATACAGAATCTGTGCCATGACGGGAAAGAGAAAAGGAAGCTCCACGTGGCCAGCCCTCCCTCCCTCCCTCACAAACAAAACCACAACGAAGGAGAAAAGCTTCCTGAAAGAGAAAAAGGAAAAAAAAAAGAGAAAAATAAAAGAAGACAGGTTGAAATTGACTTCATTAGGATCAACAGTGATCCCTCCCCTCCCCCCCCCATACCTTACACATGGCACAAAGTCTCAAGTTTCAGTATAAAAAAATAATGATAACATTTGCTGGCAAAAGTCTGCGAAGGCACTTCATTGATTAATGATCTGAGGATGGCCCTTCCTCCAAGTCACGTGGGCAGAGGGGAGAGCACGTGTCTGTGTTCTCTAGTGAGCATGCGCGTTCGGTTCTGGTCAGGGCAGGTGGAATGGGCTCACAGGATAGAATTCTATTTTTTTTTTCCGTTTCTTTTGGAAACAAACAAAAAGAAAAACAGAAGGAAAAAAAACACCAAAGGGAGGAAAAAAAAAAACAAATCAAAACCCAAAAGACAGCACTCATCCATCATCCTTCTCCGTGCGTCAGAACCTGTAGGTTGTCTTTTCCAGGACTTCGAGGTAATCCGGCTTGGTTTGAAGTTTGGCCCTTAACTCGAGGTAATCGCTTTTGGGGGTCTGATGGTCTGTGAACCCCTTTCCGGCTGAGAAGAGGAGGGTCTCTTTGAGCCTGGCGTCGTGCTGCAGGTCGGGGTACTGCATGCCGGGCGGGTGCACATGGAGCTCCTTCAACTTGGGCACGGTGCCATAGAGACAGTCCACGAAGCCCACGGTGCACGGGGCGGCCTGCGGCCGGTCCCGGTCCAGCAGCACCCCGCTGCCCCCGGGGGGGAACAGCACCACCCCGCCGTTCTTCTCATGGTGGCGGAATCCAGCCAAGTCCCCCCCGGGGCTGGCCACGCCCCCGGCCACGCCCCCGACCACCATGGCAGCCGGGCGGTGGTGCGCATGCGCCACGGTGACGATGGTGTTGAGCTGGGAGCTGGACACGGCCAGCGCCCACTCCTGCTCCTTCTCCAGCAAGGTCCGGTAGCTGCTGGCGTTCTCCTTGGTGGCTTCGGAGAACTGTGCATCGCCCAGGCCCGGGGGTCCCGGGGGGCCGGGTCCCCCTCTGTCTGCACCCCCTGGGGGGTCCGCCCCAATGGGCGCAGCCACCACTGCCGCCGCTGCTGCCTGCTCCTCCTCCTCCTCCCGGGGCTTGTAGATGGGGTTGTTGCACATCTGCGTGACGGGGTGCGGGATGTACTCATACACGTGGCCCACGGGAGGGGGCGCCTTGTCGGGGGAGGCGAGGGCCGCCCGCCCTCCCAGCCCCCCCACGCCACCGCC